ATACCAGCTTGTCTGAATCAATAGTGTGTTCCTTGGTTAATCATTAAGTTCAACATGTTCGTCTATATGTATGTATATCAGGTTCCAGCGACTGAATCCAAATTGTGTTCCGATTTGAGTCTTCATGTGGAATGAGCACCGTGCTCAATATGTGTGCCATCAGTGTGTAATCATATGTTCATATTCGTTGCATGCTTATATACACAGTATAGGCACGCAAAGCAAAGCAAGCAAAAAAAAAAAAAGCAAAAACAAAAAATAAAAAAAAGTAGCAATACCGTTGAACGAATCAGAAACGCATATATCGGAACTTATATGTTTTTCTTGGATTCGATCTGGGTGCTAGACGGCGTTTGCTCCAATTTTGTTGTTGTGGCTGCTGTTGTTGCCGTTGTTGTAGTTGCTGTTGCTGTTGTTGTTTCTGTTGTAGCTCCTGTTTCAGCTCCGCCTGCAATTCGATCTCCGTTCGCATTTTGCTCCTGCTTCGTGCCGCCGGGTACGAAGGGGCAGACGCCGCCTTTGCACTCGAACGGGAACTCTGGCCCGGCCTTGATTACGTTGCCCTCCGCATCTTTCTTCTCCCAGGGATTCCAGTAGCGCAGCAGAATTGGCTGGACGAATTTGTGCCAGATGTAGAGCAGCAGCGGGACGATGAAGCAGGGCACGCAAACCATTTTGCAGGAGTTATATTACAAAATGCTGAGCACAAAAAAAAAAAAAAAAAAATAAAATAAAATAAAAAAAAAACGTTAATTAAATAGCAAAACGCGAAATTTAGTGCAATTCACCTTAACAAAAATCTTGTTGGTTCGGCTGAGTGTGCCCAGGCGGTTTAAGCAGAGCAGCAAAAAAAAACCGCACGATAAACACGAACGAAATGAGAAGCAAAGCCCAAAAGTGAATTTGAATTCATTTGTACTGAATTGCCAAAAAACATAAAATTTCTAATATAAAAAAAATAACACCAAAAAAATTCACACACAAAAAAAATTTTAACAATTTTAACTTTTACTATAGTTTTTTTCTAAATAAATTCAAAGCTGTTTCAGCTTCCAGACACTATTCTGGACTGACTTCAACCGGCCCCGGAGCGGCCTTATATAGGCAAAAATTTTATCAACGCCTACTTTGATTTATAAAAAATGTATTTAATTTTCACTTCTATAATTCAATTTCATGAATAAAAGTAGGCTTTGCAAACGACTTTATACTTGACAGTTTGCTGATGGTAAATTTAGAAAAATACCAAATACCAAATATCGATAGAAATTCAACAGAAGCTATCGATTAGATGATTTTTCAAACCTAGGTAACGATATTTGTAGCTATAATAAAACATTCAAAAGGAAAGAAAATAATGTAGAATATATTATTTTATGACGTATAATATTAAGCAGATAAGTTCCACAATGCCGCCAAATAGCGCAGACTACTAAAAGCGATGTATGGAAAAACAAGCAATTGGCGCCAACTTCCGTTTGAGGTATTTTTCCAAAATTTATTTTTGCCAGCAACTATCGCTGAAAGCAGGCAACTGGCGCCAACTATCGATAGAAGTATTTTAAAATGTCAAACTTTTTTTTTTTTTTGCATAATTTAAGACTTTATTGTTCACAGATTATTTATTAAAAACAGTATTTTCTGTTGTGTTTTATCAGCTCAGCCCAGCAAGGGACAGCGATAGGGCTGCCCCTCTTTGCAGCAGTATTCGCGCCCGGCCTGCAGATTCGTATTGACCCAGATATTCTGACAGTTCTTGATGAACAGATAGGCACGCTCCTTGTGGCAATTGTGGCCTAGTGCGGAGCACACAATGTTCGCTGAGTTGGGCAGATGCTGTACGATCTGCGCGGGAGAGACACCGAGGGAGAGAGAGACATGGCGTTAACACTTGACTATGCTTTGTGCTCAGCTGTTGCAACTCACCGTCTCGAGGCACTTGGTTTGGCACTGCTTGCGTCCGATGGCATTGCACGGATACATGCGATCCATTTCGTTGTGGATGAGCGGCGTCTCCGGCAGCCCGTTCTTGATCTGCGAGGTGAGAAAGACGCCGCAGGTGCAGGGCACCGGCTGCTGCGGATCTGCTCCAGCTGGCGTTGGCGGCGAGGGCAGCGTGTTGTCGAGGCTGCCGGGCGTGCTGCTGCCCAGCTCAGGCTCCTGCTGCAGATCCTCTTGCTCCAGCTCCTCCTGCTCTGGATGGGGCGTGCTGCTGCCGATGATGGAGGCGGCAGTTGAGGTGGAGGAGGGGTGGGCAATGGTGCTGCTGCTGCCCGTGCTGCTCTCCAGCTGCTCCTCCTGGGGCAACGCCTTGGCTGTGCTGCTATTGATGATGAACTCAACGGGCGCTGGCCAATCCGCCTCCTGCGTGGTGCCCTGCGTGGTCGGGCTGCTCGTCGTGCGCTGCTTGACTCGTCGATCCTTGAAGTGGCTCATCTTGCCGTACAACGGCTTCTTGTAGGCGATCTTGCTGGCACCCACCAGCTGCTGCCCCACCAGAAACGTCAGCGCCAACAGCAGCAGCGTCCTCCTTAAACCCTGATCACTAACTGCAAAGGGCAAGGGACAAAGGACAAAGGAGATAGGAGAATATTGAACTGAGTAAAATCCTATAACAATACCCACTGTACTCACCCATCTTTGAATCTCAGTTGAGTTCTGTTTACTTTTGGTCATTCGCTCTCGCATTTTATGGAACTCGATTTGACGACGTTTGCACTTTTCTTTGCCCCGAGCTCTGTGAAGTTCAAGTTTGGCAGCTGCGTTGACAGCTTTGTGGGGCTTTTTGGGTCAGGGCGATCGAAAGCTGCGTTGCATAATACCCAGAATCTGCGAAACTCTAGAAATGTTTCGGTTTTCATTGATGAGCGAGCGAATGAACAAATCTTATAAGCTGCTCAAGGTTACGCAGAAGCGCATAGAAAGGCGTTCGCTATGAGAGTGCGAAAGAGAACGCAAGCATATAGGAGAATAATCTAAAATTTCAGAAGTTCCATGATTAAGCAATGTTAGGTTGAGAAGCGCACAGAAGGGCGTTAGCTACGTGAGTGCAAAAGAGAAGGCAGGAAAGGGGAGCTTGCAAAAAAAAAACATAAAATAAAAAAAAATAAAAGAATGTTGACATAAAAAACATTGGTAAAAAAAACATATCTACGATAAAATATACCAATACCGATATAAAACTACGCCTACCTAAAAATAAAATTAAAAAACAAATCTATATTTAATAATTCCATACAATTTATTTCATTAGTTCGTGTCATGAAAATTTTCGTAAATAATCTCAAAATAAAATAATTGTAGACCTTTTGAACTTGGCGCGCAATGTCTTGCACAATGTACGTTGCCAACCATTGCAAAGAGGCTCACATGCAGTATTAAGTGCACAGCAGAAAATCCCGAAAAAAGATACCAAAATAACGCTAGTATGTATGTGTGACCGCACAACGGAAAACAATAAATTGCCGGCACTGCTGAGTGTCTCCATTGTTATTGTTTTTGTTGTTGTTGCTGGCAAATGAGACCAATTTAGGTGGCTGTAAAAAAGAAAACGTTAAAAGAACAGCCAAGCTAATCAGAAACAAAGAAATCTTATCGTACAATCCCAATCAGTAAGTAAGTGAGTAGCAACAGCAAAGCAGCACGATGCCGCAATACGTGCCAATAACGGGCTTCAAGCAGCTGGAGGATGCACTGAAGGTGCACGCCAAGAACAACTGCCTCATCTATATGTATTTCTTTGGCGAGAAGGACAGCACGGGTCGCAGCTGGTGTCCCGACTGTGTGGCAGGTGAGTGCCTCCAATATGGAATATACGAATTGTGTTTTTAATTAAATGCGTTTTTCCGTCGCCAGTTGAGGATCTGGTGGAGACGGCATTCCGTGAATATTCGCATCCAAATTCCTTGATCTACACGGTGAACGTGGGAGATCGCGCCGCCTGGAAGGACAAATCGCCGGCCAACAAATTTCGCCTGCCGCCGTTCAATCTGACCGTTATACCGGCACTGCTGCGCTGGAACAACTCGGAGCGTTTGGATGGCGATCAGCTGCTGAAGCCCGATCTGCTGAAGCTCTTCTTCGACGAGGCAAAGTCGCAGAGCGCCACCGACACTACAATCCCATGCAAATAATAATAGTGAATAAGCCGCATAACTGTATTTGACCGCTAGCCAGCGAAGGTTGGCGTACGTGTAGTTGTGTGCGTGTCCGTGTGTTTGTGTGCGCCGAGTATGCGAATGCATGTGCGTGCGTGCGCCTGTGTGCGTGTGCATGAAAATAGAGAGAGCGAGAGAGGGAGAGAGAGAGAGAGAGAGAGAGAGAGAGAGAGCGCAATAAACACGCTGTTGAGCGCAACTCAATGGCCATAGCTAAACTCAACTCAACTCGAATTCAACTCAATTTGAACTCAACTCAATTCGCTTGAGATCTCACTCAATTGTTGGGGGCTCGCTTGAAAGCGAGCAGCAGCCGCGGCAGCCGCGGCAGCAGACAGCGCTAGCAGCCAGGCAGCAACCTGGCCGCCTCGACATCGTCGGCGTTTTATTAGCACGCACGTCGTCGGGCAGGACGAATCGTATGGCGCGTCGTCAGCAGCAACAGCAACGACAGCGACAGCAATAGCAATAGCAACAGCAGCAGCAACAGCAACAGCAGCAGCAGCAGCGGCGGCAGCGGCAGTGCCGACAGCGAGAACGGTAAACATTTAAGCGCTTGCTGTGCGCTCGTTGCTCGGTTTGGGTTTCAGTTACGGTTTCGGTTCCACTTCCATTCCGTTTCGTATTGTAAGTGACGCGTCGTACTGTTTACATGCCGTTACCGTTATTATCGCAGCGTTGTTGTGGAACGTGCGTGTGTTCGCGCTTCTACCACAAACAAATAATGTGCATAAAAACAAGCAACAGCCATTAAATATTAGCCAAATCAAATGTAGGTAACAAGGCAACAAACACACACACGCAAACACACACACGCACACACACACAGACTGAGCAATGGGGGCAGACCGACAGTTAAGCTCTTGTGGTGTGCTGCAGCAAACCCTTTAAGCCCTTTAAACCCCTTAGCCCGCAGCCCAGCCAGTTTACACTGCCCTGAGGATGGAGGCGGGAGGCGTTGACTGGACTAACTGTTGCGCCTAGCCCGTCTAAGTTCCCCGTTCTTTTGCTCTATTTGCCAGTTAGCCAAGATTCTTAGAGACTGTTAACATTGTATTTGGATTATTTACATTCCATGCTAATAAACAAGATTCGTTCATTTGACGGCGTGGTGCTAATAAAATTCTGCACCTTGTCAAAAAAAAAAAAAAAAAAAAAAAAAAAAAAAAAAACA